CCAACGGCGACAACGGCCGGCAAACTGCAGCCGCCATCCGAAACCCGCCCAAAGCCAAAACCTGGAAAGCTTAACCACGCAACGCCGCGTGTCACTGGACGACGTCTCCTGTCAAGCTCGCCAGATACCCATGATACCCCGGAAAAGCGGCACACCTGTAACCAGCAAGGGGAATGGGAGCGCGAATGGGTTTACGTAGCACAAGGCTACTGTGGAGGAGCAAGTGGGCGGCACCAGGCACAGGCTCAGGTCGGCAACCTGTCGCGTGCGCGTCATGAAGCCTTTTGACTCCCCTCCCGCACGCTGCGACCCCATGGTTGGCCCCCATTGCGCTTCTCTTATCTTCTCTGTCCCGCCTGCGGTTGCTTCTTCTTCACTGACGTTATCCGCGCCTTCCCTGTCCCACGGCTGTCGATCGCTGAACTTTGAGCACGCGATCACCTTCCCGAAACGCTGCGCTTACCTCTGCTCGGTTCTACCTTGGAGTTTTAGACGATCATAATAACATCATACGGCAAGTGTTCGTTACTGTTGGCGCCTTTTTGTCTCGCTGTCTTTGAGACGGTATACCTATCTGGATTGGAAGCCTGAAGTGGAGTCCTCGTCTCAGCCATGCGGTTACTGAAATGCGCTGCCGCCTTTGCAACCGCGACACTCTTCGCCTCTTCACTAGCCACACCGACGCCACTCAACCGACATCAAGGAGGAGACAACTTGGCCGATCGTATTGAAAGCAGGAAAGGTAAGAAGAAGCCTGATACCAAGTACTTTCATGAGCCCGGGTAAGTCATCACAGCCTTGCAACTCGCGATGTCACTGCAGCCTGTGGCATGTTCGCTGACACCCCTCCAGAGGCAGTATTACGCTCGGCCACTATGACAAGCGCTTTTTCAAGGGCATCGTCTCGGACGAAGAGCGAACGGATACGCAATCGCACATGGTCCGCGCCTACCTGAACTTCTTCCGCGAAAACGAACTCGATACCTGGATAGCACACGGGACATTGCTCGGTTGGTGGTGGAATGGAAAGGTGAGTCTTCTCCTCCAAATGTTGGCTACAAGTCTAATGCATGTGCAGCGTCTTCCATGGGACTTCGACCTAGACACTCAGGTGTCCGACAGCACACTCCAACACCTCGGCGCAGTACACAACCAGACGAGATACCACTACACTTCCTACGACGGCGCCGTCCAGCGCGAATACCTCCTCGACGTCAACCCGTGGATCTGGGAGCGCGAGCGTGGCGATGGCATGAACATCATCGATGCGCGATGGATCGACCTGCGCAACGGACTATTTATTGACATAACTGGGTTGAGCGAGACACATCCAGACAAGAACCCGGGGCAGTGGGTTTGCAAGAACTACCACCGGTACGACACATCGGAATTGTATCCCATGCGGGAGACTATGTTCGAGGGCGTTCCGGCGAAGGTGCCGTACAACTACGACAAGATACTCGTGGACGAGTACAAGGAAAAGGCACTGATAGAGACCAACTTCCATGGGTAAGCAAACTTATCTATTCGCATGGGCAAGTCACAACTAACGACGCGTAGACACCGATGGGATCCCGATGTCAAAGAATGGGTAAAGAATGAGGAAACGCTGAAGAAGGAAGAAGAAGAGCGCAAGAAGAAAGAACAAGAGGAGAAGAAGAAGGCGGAGGAAGAGTCAAAACTGGATTAGTATTCCAGCTGGCCGTAATGCAGGTGGTGTCGATGGCTTATACTGGGTTATAGCCCAGGCATTGCCAGCGTATGTTTCTAGTACACGCTTTATTGATACCCGGCGACATTGAATTTAAGTAGCAGATGTAACGATTATTGATCAGTGAGCACGGGAACAAGCGAGTGAGGCCTCCCGGTTACCAAGATCTGCGAGTGTGCTCAACGGCCCGATGGCGATGGTGGTGATGGTGAGCATCGGAGTTTGGTGATGACAAATTCCGATGGCGACCCCGTCATCTCGTGGAAGCCTTGCAGAACGTCACCGAAACCACGCATGGCTAGAGCTCGGCCACATGCTGCGAAGCTTTATATCTTAATCACTACTAACCTCATCACTCACTTCATATACTAGATCGCGCCTAGGAATCTTCCAACACTCGCACCGCCTATACATCCTCTCGCCACCACCTACAACGCTTCCACGATGACAGAAGCCGACACCACATCTGCGCCTCCGCCCCTCAGCTCCGACATCGAAATAACCCTCACCCACCACGGCAAAGCAATCGCACTATCCTTCGCCCAAGATGCCACAATCTCCGACCTCTCCGAACGCGTCGCAAACGACTTGTCAATACCGCCCTCCAACCAAAAGTTCCTCATAGGCGGGAAGATCGGGCTCCAAAAGCCACCCTTCAAGAACCCCTCCCTACCGCTCACAGAGCTCGTCGGCAAGAAAACAACCCTCATGGGCAGCACAACCGAAGCCGTCTCCTCCCTCAACAACACCATATCTGCCGCCTCCGCGCCCCGGCGCCCCGGTCCCATCAAAGCCGCCTTGCCAGCGCGCAACCGCGATTACAAGAAGATACAAGAGGAGGCGCAATACACATTTCATACGCTACGGCCGCTGCCGTACCTACCGAATCCAGATCGTTCATTACGGTTCCTCCAACGGCTTCGAGACGACGCGGGGATCAAAGCAGCAATGCGCACGCACAAGTTCAGCGTTCCGCTGCTCACGGAGATGGATCCAGCCATGCATACTACAATGGAGAGTCGGACACTGGGTCTCAACCGCAACCAAGGCGAGGTCATCGAGTTGCGGCTTCGCACAGATGCCTACGACGGGTATCGCGATTACAAGACGATCAGGAACACGCTGTGCCATGAGTTGGCGCATAATGTCTGGGGCCCTCACGACCGCAACTTCTGGAACTTGTGCAAGCAGATTGAGCGCGAGGTTGCGAGGGATGATTGGAAGAGTGGCGGGAGGAGTGTGGGGAATGATGAGTTTTATAATCCGGGGGATGAAGGGGCGGAGGAGGTGCATGATCATGGGGGGTGGACTGGGGGTGAGTTTACGCTGGGGAGCGGTACGAAGGATACGGGGGAGACGGTTGTTAGTAGTGCGACGGCTGGGTTGAGTAGGAGGGAGGTGCTGGCTAAGGCTGCGGAGGAAAGGTTTAAGAAGACGAAGGAGGTGGAGAAGAAAGAGCATGCTGAGGGAAGTGGAAGTAGTGGAGCTTGATCGCTCTGCAGCAAGCGTGAGGGCAGTCGATGTGCGCGTATACCCTTTTGATTGCGCATTTGTACTTGTGGATAGAAGAAGCTGTACGTATCTTCATTCCGCTTCTTATGTTGCATTGTTACGTCTTTACATGTCCATACCTCAATATCTAGTTTTGCTGATTACGGGTCTTGAGGTTTATACTGTCTCACGCAGCCAATGGTGCACCTAGGAGGGCCGAAATGTCGATCCATGCCTTCGGATAGGAGGAAGCTACAAGCTTTGTTTACCCCATCTTTACCCCAACTTTTAGCGCTGCCGCTGGTACAGCCGATGACCTCCGCTTTTGCGCTGGCATCCCACTTCCTTTCTCTTCACTATATCTAGGTATGCTTTGATGGTGAAGCTTCCTCCTCCTTTTGGTCCCAACCGTCCAGCCTAAACTACCCGTCTACCCCGATCGCCGCCTCGCCATCGATACCAAGACACCAACCATCCCGAGGTCCTCATTCCGGTCGCCGTCTACTCCCCACACGATGTACTTCGTCATCTTCGCCCTCCTTATCGCCGCAGCCTGGGCAACTGTCGGCATCTTGCTTGCGAAATGGCTCAAACAATCCGGTCATGCGAGGCCGTTCAAAGGACGGAACTGGGATAGTCGCGAGCTTTATGGCGGTGGCTCGGGGTATGGGCGCGATATTGGGCTTGGGGGACCGTCGAGTCAAGGGAGGGGGCAGGGTGGCAGGGAGAGGGGTGTTGGGGTTCCGCTGACGGGGGTGGGGAGGGTTAAGGGGTTTTAGGATGATGGAGTAAGAGGAGGACGGGGAGATGGAGATGGAAAGAGAGCAGGAGAACGAACAATAAGAAGGGATGGAGATCTCGGGGGGTGAGCTGACAAAAGACGGGTAAGGCACATCGTCTGGTCTGGTGACGGTCCACGACTGACATCCCGCAGACTGACCGTCAACGCTTTCGCAATCTACCGACCGCGGTACTGAGGCTTAACTACCCCAGAAGACGAAGCCGAACATCTTCCCATCTTTGGTGGGCTGGCTTTCGCATAGCATTGGTGTTGTTAGCAGATGGGTCTAGTGGGCCTTTTTGTTCGCACGCAACTACTACGCACTTCACGCCGCCATCGCCAACGCGTGCGTTCGATGCGGATGGCGAGAATAAGCTTCTATATGCTCAAACTGGCCGCTTCGACCGAACCCCTAGTTTGAGCATATAGAAACTCAGCATCGCCACCCGCATCGAATGCACGCGGTCTTTCGACACTGTTCGAATCATCGCGTTCTTTGTTCATTGTCTTGTCAACTTGAACAACGACGCCGCGAGTACATCTTCGTCGCTTATACAAAGACCGAGAGCCTTCTTGTTTGAAGAGCCTTTCCTTTCTAGACAACGAAATGGGACCTGCGTATTCTGTCCAACTTCACTGTTTGCTCCCACCTTCAAAGTGAAAGTAGTCCAAATGGCAGCTGGAAGGCGATACTATACTTTAGCGTCACAGACTTTGCGCGCCACGCGATTACCCAAGTCCACGATAATCACAGACACTACGACCATGTTGCTACCTGGAGAGGTTCACATGCCTCATCCAACCCCCCCGCCATATGTGGTCGCAAAGACACTGACCCAATATCTCTTTGGCGAAACCACACTCCCGTCCTTCCTTCAGCGATACGGCGATATTTTGGTGGCAATCACGGGAGGCGCAGCTGCAGCAACGGGCCTGTGTTGGTTCTTCCAGCACAACAGATGTAATCGCAAAAGGATCCGGCTGGCTGTCTTTCATGTTGTCCGCACACTTCAGATCATGCCTGACCTAGAGGAACGTATGGAGGAGATGCCAGAGGATCTTTATAAGGAGATTGCCCATGAGGTCGATCGGATGATCGGCACTTATTTGACTCTGTCAGAGAGTGAAACTACTTTTAGAATGGCCAAGCGCAAGCTTTTGGATGATTACGAAGCATTTGAGAGAGAAAGAGAGGCTGAAAGGAGAGTAAGAAGGAGGGTAGACGATGCGGCGGCAGGAGACGTGCCTGAGATCACAGTTCAGTCTCCATCTTCCACAGGTCAACCGGAGGGAAGTCTGGTTCATGAGGAAGAAACACAACAAGATGACGAGCTAGAAATGTATATGCTAGGCTACAATCCGACAGCACCACACTTAAGCCCAGTACGAGAGCGTCCCTCGCCCACTTCTCCCGATATCGATCTCAACTTCTCGGACTTCAGGATACCGTCATCGGAACAGAGTAGAGGGAGTCGCGGAAGTCCATCCAGTCTAGGCTTTTTGAACAATTACTCCTCTTCACCGCTGGCGCGGCCGTCGAATCCGACGCCTCGTCGTGGTCGAGGCGGTCCTTACAGCAGCGACGATACGCCTTCGCCACAACGCTTGGGCCCCATAGACCTTTCTAGTGAAGATGTTCCTTCTGGTGAGGACGAACAGCCAATGGAACGTCCATCGAATCCCACACCGCGCCGTGCCCAAGGCTCTATAGATGTACAAGTCGACACGCCACGACCGAAGACCGCGCGTGGGACTAGACCTGACCTGGATCAGGAGAGTCATGACCTTTACACTTCTCCTGCCTCTAGAGACGACACCTCACCAGTGCAAGAATCACCTCGACCGCGCATCACCAGCAACGACATTCGTGAGCGTCGCGAGAGGGCGCGCGCTTCAGATGTCCAGAAGACCGCCGTAAAGCCGCGCAGTACCGTTGCGTTACGCCAGCCGCCCAGTGCGTTGGCCGCGAAGACCCAAGGCGAAGTTCCAGGGCGATATCTTTCCCCCATACGAGAGGGCATATCTCCACATGTGAGCCCTGCGGAAGGCACCAAACAGTATCGCGTTGCGGAGACACGCAAGCTTAACAAACAGTTTGAGGGTGAGAGGGACGAGCGTCGAAATTTTCGGAAGCACATACCGCCGATTGGCGATCAACCGCTTGAGGATGAAGAAGGGCAACTGGCCGAAGGAGCGGATGCGGAAGGACAAGAAGCACCTCCTGAGTCCAGTGGAAGTGAGATACCATCCAGATTCGCATCGATCGATCCAAGAGGTGAAGAAGATGATGATAGAGTGCACTTCGAAGACGCAACCCAATATCCCTCATCAACAGGAGCTATCATGACGGCATCGCCAGCAGTCCGCCACGACAACCCATTACCTGCTACTGCGACTCAAATTTCTTCGCCGAGATCAAGGCCATCACCTCAGGCAGCGACTAAAGGCCAATCGCGAAGGTCGGCGGCTCCAAGCCCACCCGAAAGGACTACGGAGAAGGCGACGAAGGCACCTGCAAAGACGCCTGCGAAGACACCTGTGAAGACACCTGCGAAGACACCTGTGAAGACACCTGCGAAGACACCTGCGAAGCAAAAGGCTCCACCGACAATCGGGACGCGGAAGAGCGGAAGAATTGCAAAGTTGAAGGGTGAGAAGAAGTGAACATTAGTGCTGAACTTTGTTCATGGTGTCGAGGAGGTGCTGGTCGATGTTTGCATACTTCAATTGATGATTTGAATGCCGCTGTCACACTTTCTCTCAAAGTCATTTTTTGGCATGCTAATGCATCATTATGCTAATTGGAGAGGACCACCATGTTGTCGTGATCAAGATTGCCGCTATGCCTCCAAATGACGACGTGACGTCATCAGTCCTTTCCTCAACCATCTTCATCTTCATCTCCTCTTCTTTTCCGACCATTGCATCCTCAACAATTTCAGATCGTGACCTGCCAAAACTTACACATATCTCAACAAAATTTTTGGTCGACTACAATAGGGTCGCTAACAACGGCCCTGCATGGTGGCTGACCGTCAGCTGGTCAAGTGATCGGCGTATTGCCCTGGTTTCATTCATCATTGCCTAAACCATGATTTCAGGCCTTCAATCGAAACCTCATCTTTCGAGTTTCCAGGTTCGTGATAGGCTAACCGGCTACCCGTTTTGACAGTCTCGTGCTATGCGCCACAGGGCATGGCTGTTCACCGACGACACTGAAGTGTCATCTTCATTCAACAAAAAGATGAATCCTTCGTAATGGTAGAAGTATAAGAATATCATTGCTGAGCTCACATAGTAGTATCATCAACACAGCTTCATAGTTTCTATCAGTGCCCACCACCTCAAACAACAAACCACCAACACCACCCCAAATGGCCATCCCTCAACCCACCCTCTCCCCCTCTCACTTCCACCGCATAACAAACACTTCCAACCCCTCCAACCCTACCCTCGACATCGTCAACGACCACGGCACCCAAAACAGCACCGGTCTCCTCAAACTAACCCGCGAAGGCTACTACTCAGGCCAATTTTGGGCTTTCGTCCCCTCACCCTCAACCTCAATCCCCAACTCCTACCGGCTCCGTACATGGTGGCTAGGTCCAAACCGACTCCTCGACGTCTACGCAGAAGATACTTCGAAAGCGGTGTTGAGACGGGCGGACGACACGCCGCATGCGCTTGATTGGAGGATTGGCGAGTGGGACGATGGGAACTGGTGGATTGGGAATGAAGCAGGTGGTGTACTGAAGGTTATGGATGTTGGTGGGGAGGATGGGAGGAGGGTTGTGTTGAGGGAGAAGGATGAAGGGGTCAAGACGCAGAGGTGGAGGATTGAGGTTATTAGGGAGATTAGTGAGGACGAGTTTTATGATAGGCCTGCTACACCAGAGGGGGGAGAGGGCTGTGTGTGAAAGATATTGACTTGATGTATTCAATCGTAGAATTCGTTTCTATTCGTTCCATCTATATACACATGTTCTTGATGCATCATATCTACGAAGCAGGGGCAGCGGTGCCGTATGGGATCGCCTTGGCGCTCTCAATGTCCACGTAACCGTACTTGCTTCCGGTCTTGTCGTCGGAGAAGCCTTGAGCCCAGGTACCCATGTCTTTCTGGAAAGCCTCGAAGTTCTTCTCGTCGCTCAGGTCGATAGGCTGCTGGTCCTTGCCCAACTGCCTGATCTGTGTTCCTGCCGCAACGTTGGTGATGCCGAAGTCATTGTCGTCGGTCAATTGGTTGATCGCGGCGTGAACCTCGCCGTTGATGATCTGGCGAGGAAGCTCGGGCTCCTGGGTGACCGGACGAGCGAGACCAACACCATCGACGGTGTTGAGGGCATCGACCATGGCAGCGGCGCTCTTGAAGCCACCAGTGACGTAGGTCCTGGTCTTGGAGAGCGAAGGTGTAATCTTCTCGGCGAAGTCGAGGAAGAAAGCTTCGCGCTTCTTGGTGGACTCGCGCTTGTGGCCGAAAGCAAGCTGCTCGTAGGTACCACCGGACAACTCAACAAAGTCGAAGCTGTTGTCCTCAAGCAACTTGCAAAGGGTTGCGGCCTCCTCGGTACCGAAACCCTTGTCTTGGAACTCAACAGAGTTGAGCTTGATGCCAAGGACGAAGTTGGAAGATGTGCGCTTGCGGACTTCCTGACCGATCTCGGTGATGATGCGTGCGCGGTTCTCGAGAGATCCACCGTACTTGTCGGTACGCTTGTTGGTGCTTGGGGCAAGGAATTGTGCGAGCAGGTAGCCGTGAGCTCCGTGAAGCTGGATACCGTCATAACCGGCCTTCTCAAGGTACTCAGCTGCGTGAGCGAAGCCCTCGATGACGTTCTTGATATCCTCGTCGGTAGCGGCGCGTGGCTTGGCGAAGGTCATGCCCATGACGTTGCCCTCTAATTGTACGTCGGATGCGGAGATGGGGTTCTTCTGGATGCTCTCGGTTACCTGGCGACCTGGGTGGCTGACCTGTCCGACGATCAAAGAGCCGTGCTTCTTTGACTGTGTCGCAAGCTCCTTGAACATCTCAAATCGCTCGCCCTCGTACTTTGAGCCACGGGGAATGATGGGGTTGCCAGCAGCCTCCAGGTGGTCGTACTCGATCATGATGTTACCGGTCAGGATGACGCCGAACTCGCCCTCGCCCCATCGTCGGTAGACGTTGACGAGGTTCTTGGAAGGAACACCACGAGCTTCGAGGTTCTGAGCATCCCATGATGATAGACGCTCGGTCATAGCACCCTTGAGGAATCGGTTCTGGGCAGTCTTCTTGGAGAAAGCAAAGTCGAGAGGCTTTGCCAAAGGAGCAGGGTCCTTCTTCTCGGCTTCATATCTTCTTGGTGCCATGTTTGCGGAAATGTGAATGGGTATCTAACAAAAAAAGACGAAAGTTTAGTATAATAAGACTGATGTTTGGAAGTTGTGTGTTGTGAGTGAGATGCGAACTTGGCGTGCGATCAATGGCGGTCTATATGTGTTTCGTTAGTGCTTCATCGGCTTTTTGCATTTCTAAGCTTTCCCACGAATATGTTGCCAAACAATGACGGACTCGTCCGAGATTGATCCATAGCCGCGTCATAGAGGTACGCTATAGGCTAGGGCCCGGCTGCGACACCTCGGCAGATGTAGGCAAAGCACCGTGATCTAGACGCGCCTCTTGCGGGATGCCAGAAGATCGCGTTAGGCTATATGGTGGAAGAGATGGCTGTGGGGTTGAAGTGTCGCGCTGGAGCAGCGGCGTGCGTGGCGTCATTCTCGCGTTACAAATCGTTCAGGAACCGGACGAATCGGACCGACGATGTTGCGGTTGCGTGCTATCACGTGTCGGTGAGCTGTCAGGAACGCCATCGTCGGAACACGATCCTATCCGACACCAACACCATGTGTTCGGCAAATGCCACGTCTATCCATCGACTGCCGGGACCAATTCTATAGACTTCGAAAGCGTGCCTAAAATCGGCATCGCCTTTCTCGCTGCACGGATGAAGGGATCCGCCCACCGACCGCCTCGTCTCTCCACAGAGCACCAGACGATACCTAGGTACTCCTCGTCAACAGACGCATCACCGATACAACATGGCATCTTGAAATATCGAGATTTTGACGATTATATTTTGCGCGACGAGTGTAGGTAACTAAGACACACGGTGGGTGGCTACGCTATGTTGGAAAGCATCGCCTTCAAATTCCTTCGCTCCGCGAAATGCTCAAAGCGTTTGTTGCCTGCCAAGATGAATGCAATCGCCCTTACTCCGCCAGCACCGATAGTCCGGTGAAAGGAACTTCCTGGCACTTGTTCTGCTCGGTGATAAGAATCTCGTCGCCAGCCTGGCAATTGGTCGAAGCGAAGACGCGGAGAGACAGGCCCTTGTTGCTGTCGAATGCAACGCTCTTGCCAGTGTTGAACCCCTGACACTTGTTGTTACCACCTTCGCCGAAGTTCTTGTACTGGCCGGTCTCGCAGTTCTAGAGGGAGAGATACAAGTCAGCGGGTGTTCATGACAAGAATATCGCCTTGCGGAGGCTCACATCGGGATATGACTTACGCTAACGGAGAAGGCGCTGACCGCGGGAGTGAGAGCGGCAGCAATGGCAATGACGGAGGCAAGAATGAACTGCATCTTGAAGTTCTGGGAGGAACGGTCAGCTGGAGGCAAAAGTAAGAGATCGACAAGACGCACTGTTAGAGTGTTTGAGGTTGAAGTGGAAGTGAGTTGCTGAGGTTTGAGGATCGTGTTGGATGATGAGCTCTCGAAGGGGCAGCAGCCTGATACTTATACCTCATCTAGGCTCGACATGCCATGCTGGAAAAGCACAGTATCGACATTCCAAGACGCGTTCACAGCACAACAGCGAAGCTTACGATCAACCTCTCCAGGCGCCCAACAGTGGGCTCTCTACTCGGGGTCGCTATGCCAGGTCGAAGTGGCTAAACCTCGGAAGCCTAAACGTCACCGCGTTCTGAGCGCAACAGGTCACTGCGGATGTCTTTAGGCATCCAGTGACTGAGGCGAAATGGTGGTTGGCAGACGCAGATCGACGAATCGTGATACACCGAGGACCAACAAGGCACGTCTCTCAAGAGTACGCGGGCTGCTCGCAGCGTTATGGCCCTTGTCCAGTCACGCCAATGAGCAGAGTGTATCTTGGTCCTGCTTTGGCAAGACCGCTCGTGGCAAGCTGACGTTCGAGACGGTATCGCATCCGTGAGTATAATTTCTAATTCCAGTGTTTCCTCCCCAGTGGCCGGCGCTCCACTCCATGCTAAAGGGCTGTCTATCGATGGATGAGGCGTATAGGCATCATTGTTCGTCATCTTTGGGTAACACTTTCGTCGCCGCACATGCGATGATTGATGAACAACGAACGTTTAAACGCTTGGCGATGGCAGGCCTTACACTACCGGTACTTGTTACACCCATGTACACGTACCATGATCAGCAAAGCTAAGGATAATCGGAGCCCTGGAGATGTTCCAAGCCCGGCCCAGACGCTCTCATCACTCTTTCTTATAATTACGATCGTCAACAACGAACCCACTCATGGCGACGCCAGCCACGATCCGACGACGACACAGGGCACTTCTTCAATCCTCACCGCTGCGCATCAGAGACGGACAGGAAGCTTCCACCCGCTCATACAGCGGTTTCGCTTGCCTTAGGCCACCATCCAAGATCAATTCGCTGGAGTAACTTCGGTCTATCCACAGCCAAGATCGCACTTCCACATTTGTCCCGCAGACCAAGGCGGTATGTAAACATATAGATATCTGGGCAGCTTGGCTCATCACCTTACCTCTTCAACTCGATACTATCTTTTTGGTCGTTGAAGTAACATGTTTTCAATCATCATGACATATCAAGAAATGATAGCAGCCCATCAAGACTACGTACGACAACAGATACTACACCGATATCCGCTATCCGTCAGATCAGAGGATGCGGGATTTCGCGGCATGCAATCCTTCGACGGGCCGGTAGCAGGAGTCTGGGGAGCGGACCCACGCGGCCCGCCTGATCTACGTGAAAGAAACGCCGATGCACGCGCATCTACCCACCTACGCGCGTTCTTTGGGGCCTGGAGAACACTGTATCCCGAAATGGGACCATTCATATGTTACCAAGCAGTCCATTTCAGGCTCGGTGCTAGTTCGGTCCTCCCACGTCGCCGAATTGGCCAACCCAGATCTTGGCCAGCGGAATGGTGGAGTAAGGCAAGCAAGGCATATTTGTAATACAATCGTACATTGTGCAAAGTCAGTGAGCGTAACCATGAGAACGACGCCCGAGGTTGAGCTGTCTTGATTGCTGGGATTATACCCAGCCCTATCTGAAGGATGGTCGAACTATTCATTAGCTGACATATTTCACTGCATTTCTACCAAGAGCTGGTTCCAAAGGCCACCACAATACACTCTTCCAAAGATCTGCGCCTGCTAGATCACAGCTTATAGAACGTATAAAACAAATTTGAGTAGATTACATCTAACTCCCAAGCTACTCAGACCTCTTTCTCATCCCTTTCATCGCTCAATGGGCGAATTCAAGGAACTCAGAAAGGCGCTCAACAAAAGATATGTAGAGCTCGACAAACGGCAAGCGGTTCTCAGATATCAATCGTTTCCTCGTATCCCGGACAAGGCTTAATAGAGGCAGAGAATCGATTCGAAGGTCAGCGCGGGCCCTCGTGCAGGAATAGAGGATGCGGCGTAGCTCCCTTGAGTAAGGCGCATCCTCTGAAGTTTCGAAATTCTCAGGCAGCATTGCCTTCTCGTCCAGACAGGTAGGAGACACGACGTTCTGCACAACACACCACGTTAGTCGACCGATCTGATACACATCGACGGCTTTGGTGCCATATTGACCCTCCGGTGGCACGTATGCAGGGTCCATACGCGGTGTTTCCTCTGCCTTTGGATATTTGTCTTGGTCCAAAGTACTAATTTCTGATTGCCGCATGGCGCAGCCAAAGTCGCCTAACTTGACGATCGGATACTCAGTCTTGTCGCCGGTACTAGAAGTGATGAAGACGTTCGACAGAATGATGTCGCGATGATATACGACATCCCAAGAGGCGTCTTCTTTAGCCTCCAGGCATCCATCTTCAGGCTCCTGTTGCTCAAACTTTTCGAGTACATTCGGACCATAGTGCAGATAAACAGCCGCGTGTACCAGGCTCTCCAAGATGTTCCAAACGAAGAGCTCAGGTACTGGAAGTTTCGCCTCATAGGCATATTTTGCGAGGAAGTCAAACAACGTACCTTTGTTGCAGTACTCCGTGATCATCCATGCCGTATCGTGTATGCTCTTTGGTGCGGTACCGTCGAAGAACTTGATGACTTTGTCGTGCTGCAAAGTCCCGAGAATATCGAGCTCTCGCTCAGCGAAGCCGAGATAATCTCTGGGTAGGGGAAGAGTCTTCATGATCTGTGCGGAATTATCAGGGTTGTTCTCGTTGTGGACTAAGTAAATACCACGGTTGAAGCTTCCGTCAACGTCTTGCAGCTTCGAGGCGATGCGCCATTTTTCACCAGCTTTATCGCCGGTGACCTTCCCATCGATCGCAAACCGCTCGTCTGCTATCGTGGAGGCAAACTTGCTATTCAGCATATCAAGCAGCGTACACATGTCCATCATCGTCAGCTTTCCAGGGGGGTTGCCATTCCTGGCTTTATAATAGCGGACAAAGAGGCCGAATGCGTGGTGAAAGCCTGGATATCCCTCTGGATCCTCGGGGTAAGTTCGCAGATTCATCTCTTTTATAAACCCTGTGAATGGAGCTCTATCAGGAGGGTACAACCAGGAGATATCCTTTGAAATACACCAGCGCTTGAACTCATTGAAGTAGTCTGAGCATTCCGGACCTTCCGGTTCTAGCTCATTGAGCCATTGGGGTGTTGAATGCGGTGCCACGCTGTCGTTGCTGAAATTCGTCGTTTCCGTTGTACTTGAGCTCTTCGAGGCCATGGTGAAATCTGCAACGCAAGAGCTACGCGATGTATGTCTCTGTCAATTGTTGAAGCCGAACTAGTGACGGAAGAAAGGAAAATTAAGGAATGCTATATACCGTTTTGGTATATAGTGCTGCTCCAAAACAGTATCACATGGTATATCGATAACGCATGACGTTGTGGAGAACGATATCATGATTCGCGTACACAACACTGTGCCGCTATGAATTATCTGCATGCCGTTAACAAAGTACACCCAGAGGTATGTGCACGGCGTATTTGTCCACTGAGTATATACCTTGATCGTGATGCTGCTGAACTGTCGATAGCATCTAATTCTTGTGCGTTTTCATCGCCCAAAGGTACATCGAAATCCCCTCGATACTGCTCGCCAAATGCCTGTAAACCTGAGCCACGATATGTCAGAGGGTGCTTACAAGCGTCGCAACCGAGCCGATAGCGGCACTTTCACATGTGACAGTGAGACCGAGAGGTTCTGCGAGGCAATGCTACGCCTTGCCGACTACCTGATCGAAGAAGACCCCACACTCGACAAGCCCGATCAGCTTACCCTACGTTACTTCAGGCGGATCTACCAGATTCCAGACAACACTAACTACGTTATTACTAGATTCTTGGACCGTACCCAGCTGATCACATCGCCCTCTGACCCTGCTGATGCACCAGGTCTGGCTCATTGCATACGACTTGTGTCGAATAACGAATCTGGAAGTTGGGCTGACAACCGGGCTGAGAACGAGCGTGCTGTCAAGAATTTACTGCTAGACCGAGCAAACCGAGCATGTAATCGCGATATCTTCACTGTTGGAAAAGTCGTTGGTGGACGATGGGCTATCGAGTCCGAACTGGGAGGTGTTGACGGGACTTTCAATCAAGGCATCCGTTTGGCGCGTGGCAATCAAGACGACGAGATGCGCGTCATGAAAATCCTACCTTCAGAAGCCATGTATCCTGGCTTTCAAGCCAGAGAGATGAACATCTTGAGCCGCCTAGATCATCGCAACATCATCACCCTCTACGACGCGCATCTTCCTAGCCCAGTAACCGAACGCCATGCCTCGCCCTATCTCGTAACAGAGTACTGCGACAAAGGCACTCTAGCCGATCTGATCAAAAACTGGAACGAGCGCGGCAAGCTTATCCCAGAAAGCTTCGTCTGGCAAGTCTTCGAAGCCCTGGTAACAGCCGTTCAGTACTTACATCACGGATCCTATCCCTACAACGAGGCGGCCTACAATTGGGATTCTATCACCCACCGTGACATCATCCCATCCAACATATTGCTAAAAAGCGGCCCGCAAGTCAACCCGAACGACTACCCCGTTAGCATCAAACTAGCAGATTTTGGCTGCGCCATTACCGATAGCGAGATGGAAGCTCATAACTATACCCTCCGTGATCTTCCTCTGGTGGCTGATCAGTACAGGCCTCCAGAAGGGGCGCAAGCGACTGAATCGACGGATATGTATCAAGTTGGGCTGGTCATCTCGCTCATGTATTGCATGATGAACAGCCCTTTGAGGCATCTTTCCGAAGCAGGAAATCTGACCCGGGATGATCTTGAGGGGTATCGCGGGTATTCGCCTGAGTTACGGATGTTCATTGAGATGTGTCTTGATATTGATGAGGATCAACGGCCTGATTCGAACTTCTTTCTGCTGCGCATTCAAAGTGCGCGGAGGTCGTTGCGCAACATGGATAGGTTCTATGGGCAGGTCGATCTTTTTGCAAAGGATTGAGTTTATTTCGGCTACCAAATAGGTTAAAGAAGTCCTTGATAATTGTGACAGTTACAATCCGTTCTCAATACCCGGAAGCTAGTTGCAAGATCTGGGATGTGGTTGCGTGCATGCAAAGCTGATGTCGATTCAATGATGCTCTTGGCATGTTCCTGTTGTTGCGGGGTCGAAAGCGTCGTCGCCGCCGCATTCGGTAACGCGGCTATCGAATCGCCCCTAGCTTACGTAGGTACCTGCCCGAGCACCTGGGCAGGAGCCTGACACTTTCTTCTCTACAGCCTGCATCACACCATCTAATCTCGGAACTTCAGCTGACATCATGTGCGATACAGGCGAGGAAGCCTTTGACAGTGCACGAGCATTGCCACCCGACCGTCATGCATGTCGTACCCTGCGATGCGCTGCTGCAATGCGCTGCTGAGCGCCGAACTCCGTGAGTGAGTGGGTTGTATACTTGTGACGTCCCCGGCGGCTACAGCGACTCACGGCCGTATCAGAAGTCCGGAGCAACTACGGCTGAGGGGTAGTATTCGAAAGCGTGATGCCTGAGAGCAGGCAAAGCGTTTGCTGACAAGTTGATTCGCTACGGATATCGACATAGCCTCGTCGGTCGATAGGCTACAAGGCAGCCTTGCGCTGGGGATATTGACATAGCCACGCCGATCAATATGCTGCAATGCAGCATTGCGGCACAGTCGCCTACCTCGCACGAAAGGTTCTCACGTGTTGCGGGGCTGAACAGCACTTAAAGAAGAGACGCCACTTTTACGAAGCTCAATCCGATTCATAACAGCTAAGTCAGACCTAGGCCGGCACTTTACGAGCAGAAAGCACTCATGGCCGGCGTCATGATTCGAGAAACCTCGGATCCAAGGGTAAACTTCAAGAACGGCTCGGAGGTATGGTCGTTGAGCGGTGGGATAGTACAGTTGTCTGACGATATCGAACCAGGCAAGTGGGCGAGTAGGTTCCTTATTAGAAGGTTTCCTGAGGTTGTGAAAGTTCTACCGATTGATGATCCTCAACAGCCTGCGTGTCTTGCTATTAAGCAATGCATGCAGGGGAAGCCTGGGTTCCTTGGTTCTGGCTATCATAGTGCAGCGTTGAAAGAGACAGTCCAATGTGGATGCCGCTACTGTGGTGCTTTATGCGAGATCACGTCAGAGTCTATTGAGCGAGACATCAGGATCGGTTACTGGAAGAACACCCTGAGTGTTACGTTTGATGCACTCGAAGGAGATGGAACATCTACGGAAACAGTGAGGACAAAGCTGTACACACTGGACGGTAAGTTCGCATGTACTGGTAATGCTAGCTTGACTAATGACAGCACAGCACATGAAGATCCTATTCTTCCTGTTTGGACAGACCTTCCAGGCAATACCGCATCGAGACAGAGCTTTGGTAACATCAAGCGCTGGCTTGATACATGTCTGACTACGCATACAAGCTTGTGCTCAACGTCACGCAAACCTCACGACCGCACCAAGCTACCTGACCGAGTGATAGAGGTGAGCGTTGATACACCACGTCGAATTCGCTTGGTCGAGACGAAAGGACTGGAGGGGCATTATGCATGTCTAAGTCATTGTTGGGGCGGTGAACAGCCATTGCAGACAACTCGGGAGCCAGACACATTGTCCTTTCATCTGCAACATATCCCGGAGACAGCCATACCGCGAACGTTTCGAGATGCTATTACGGTCATTCTTGAGCTTGGAATTTACTATATTTGGATAGACTCATTGTGTGTAAGTCACTTTTGCATTGCCTTGAATGAATTATCATGATATAGGTACTGACCACATAGGCAGATTATTCAAGACGACGAGGCTGATTGGCAGAATCAGTCTGCTCAAATGGCTGACATATACGCTAATTCTACGATAACAATCGCAGCTTCAGCATCTTCAGGTCCAAACAGAGGTCTCTTCCGACTCGCAGACTCAATATATGTCGGCAGACCTTTGTCAAGTGCACCAGGTTTCCACATGAGATATCCAATGGGCCACGGGGGCCGTGATTTGCCACTTCTTCAGCGAGGCTGGGCCTTCCAAGAGCGTATCTTGAGTCCCCGAATTCTCCATTTCGCAGAGCATGAAATCATCTGGGAGTGTATGGAATACGAAGATTGCGAATGTGGGGCCATGCAACTGGATTCTCTAAACAGCCCAGGAGAATATACAGGAGGATATTTCCAGAGGACTATAGACGGAGAATGGCCTGCTACCAAGAGTCATTGTCATCCAAATCGGTGGCGCTCGCTTAAAGACGATCGTGAAAAGATTGCGGGTATGTGGTCAAGACTCATCAGGAACTTCAGCGAGTTGGAGCTCTCAAAGCCAAACGACATCTTCCCAGCTATTTCCGGTATTGCGAAGAGCTTTAGAGAGGCCACTGGTTGGGAATATGTTGCTGGCATGTGGAAAGAAGGTCTGATACAAAATCTCTCGTGGTACACATATCCACCCGCGATTCGATGCAAGATATGGAGGGCGCCTACTTTCTCTTGGGCTTCTCTTCAGTTTCCCGAAAAAGACGATGATCGGGATTGCATTGCATACGAGCATATGGAAGACATTCAAGAGTTGGCTACAGTCGTGGAGGCCAAATCTTCTCCAAAAGGCGCCGATCCTACGGGTCAGTTGGAAAATGCATACATTATACTGTCAGGGACCGTGATACAGGCCACCGTTGACAAGTATTTCATCAAGCCCCTACAATCTTCGACACAGAGCACCGAGCCACTCACGAGTTCTGAAAAACATGACATCTCGTCCACAGATGTATCTAGCTTCAGGCGTCGGAATCGCGATAGTTTCACGTTCCATGCCGACTTCTACCATCAACTGGAACAAGGAGCAACGGTGCATTGCCTGAAACTGCTCGAGGCAACATGGAACCAGGGAAAGAATGCGTCGTACTTGGTACTGTCGAAGAAAAACTCGATACCTTGGGAGTGCCACGGTATGAGGGGCGAATGTGAGTTCGAGAGATTAGGTCTCATGGAGTCTCCACTTCAAAAAAATCATTTTCACCCGAAGAAGGTCTTTGAGGAAGAATCGCCGGAGCATGCCATCCAACACAACGCAGTGGTGAAGATTGTCTGAACTGCAGGATGTAGTAAACATGTGACCGCGGGGTGTCTTGGTACAGATTGACATGAAAGTGGCGGTAGCGATAGCAAATATGCGAGCAGAGTTCTGGACATGAAACATGTATAGTAAAATGTAGTACTTTCTTTATTGAACCATGCGCTTGTACCCTTGCTATGCCTAAACCGAAACGTCAATGCAACGCAGGCGTATTTCTTGAACATATAGTAGGCGCTACATGCAGCTGTGTAAACTTTGGATTCATCCCTTCCAATGCGATACGTAGACGCTTTGCGCGCAACCTTGTGAGATTACCATGACCCCACCTGTTCAATGCTGCTGATGCACTGGCCTCAGAAACAAGACTGCGTCCTGAATTGCACACAGCAACGATGAACAGCTCATCACAACGGTGAATATACCGCTGACACAATGCCCAGCAAAGTCCACGGCGCGTTTTCCTCTGACATCACCGCGCCAATGCCAGGGTGAGACCGAGGATCGGGCAGAAGGGACGCATTTTCCCGCCGCAGCAGCCGAAGTTGAAAGCAGGGACGTGCACAACCGAGCAAGCAACTCGACCGTGAGCTCCACCTCATCCACAACGCGACCTTGCCCACTGCCATTGCGCAACCGTCCTTAATCCCCTCCCAGCGGTCCGCGCATCATCTTACTCTGCTCGTCGTACTCTACTTTTCTCACCCACTTTTATCTTCCCCACCGGACTTATCTTCCTCACAACTTCGGCGCAATGGCACCTTTAGCAGATGCGTCGGTCGACGACCTCAAGAGCACCGTCACCAGCCTTGAGAAGCGCATCGCTGACCTGGAAAAGAGACTCGCGGGTCAGAATGGGGGTGCGCCTGCGTCTGCGGAGAGCGTCAGGATGATCTTGATGGGTCCACCCGGTGCTGGTATGTTCTTCCCGGTTGGAGAGAGGGTAAAAAAGGCGGTTTTGCTTACATGGCATACTAGGCAAGGGTACTCAGGCGCCCAAGATCAAGGAGAAGTTCTGCGCTTGCCATCTTGTAAGTTTTCAGAGTGGGTTGGATAAGGGATTGGGGCTGACAGATCACAGGCTACCGGAGACATGCTGCGCGCGCAAGTCGCGGCAAAGACTGCGCTCGGCCGGGAAGCAAAGAAGATCATGGACGCGGGTGGTCTGGTTAGCGACGAGATCATGATCAACATGATCAAGACGGAGCTCGAGAACAACGCCGAGTGCTCCAAGGGGTGCGTCCCCTCTCCTACACAGTTTGAAAGACATGCTAACACAACCCCACCCCCAGATTCATCCTCGACGGCTTCCCCCGCACAGTAACCCAAGCCGAGAAGCTCGACGGCATGCTCAGCATAACCAAGAAGCCCCTCCAACACGCCGTAGAACTGCAAATCGACGACGGCCTCCTCGTCTCGCGCATCACTGGCCGCCTCGTGCACCCCGCCTCCGGTCGCTCCTACCACAAGATTTTCAACCCGCCCAAGGCGCCCATGACGGACGACGTCACAGGCGAGCCGCTCATCCAGCGCTCCGACGACAACGAGGACACGCTTAAGAAGCGCCTGTCAACATACCACGCCCAGACTGCGCCGGTCGTCGCATACTACCAGAAGACGGGTATCTGGAAGCCAGTCGATGCGAGCCAAGAGCCTGGCCAGGTGTGGAAGAGTCTGCTTAAGATTTTCGATGATAAGGCCATGGTGGCTGGACGGACGGGTAGTCTGCTCAACAAGGTCGGGCTTAAGAACTAGGTGGCCTCCGGCGATGTGAGCAGGGAATGTGGTACCGGATTGCGAAGATACAACTGCGGGTCACGCCTACGCTTTCATACCGCCAGGCAGACGCGTAGAGTCTAGCAGCAGTCGGCTGGTCATGTTTCAAAGCCACGTTACGAGAAAAGTCCACTTTTACGCTTTGGAATGAAAGAATGCACATATGGTTTGGATGGGTTCCTTGTACTTGTACAGATGCATACGCGTGGTGTGGGTGGTCTGTGGGGGCATACACCCTGTGTATTTCAGATGGCTCTTGCGGACTCGTTTTCTGGTAGTTTACCGAGATCGGGAATGCTAGAGATGTTCATGATTGATGCTTATGTGGTCGCGAATGTGGCCTTTTACGTACCGTGGTTCTGCAACCTCGCTCTAGCTGAAGGAGTCTAAAGAGATGCCTTGTCCTGGCGATTAAACATATATAGCATACTGCTCGCAAGTCACTACTCTTATCAAATAGTCCTTGCGCCACAAACACACGTGCTTCCTCCCGCCGCCGCCGCCCGTTCCAACAACGTGTTCCCTAGTCCTAAGTCGCGCGAACCCGTGGCCTCGGCGTTAGCAAAACACAACTTCTCCTAACCTCCGGGGCGACTTGTCACTCCCGCGAAAAAGTGTCTCCAGCGCAATTACTCCACAGAACACGAGTACGCTGTGTATCGTATACGCGCATTCACCGCAGGTGCAATCGCAATCGCATACCTACCTCGAGGAACCGCGCACACAACGCTTCGAGCCTCAAACCCCAGACCTCCGACCTCGAGCCTGCAACGAAACGCGACGAACCCGAATCTCAGCCCATAACGCCTCGCCCGCGCCCAAGAAACGGGCCACAGACACACCTGCCATCCCACCCTAAATCGCACCACACACACGTCCGCCACAATGTCAAGTAGATTCACGCGCGCCGACCCCCGCGACGACCTCTTCTCCTCCTACAACCGCAGCGCCTCGCCCTCGAAATCAAAGAACAAATCCCGCGCTTCCCCCTACAACGCTAGTATAAGCCAGGGATATGGGTATCCTGGTTCTTCTGCGGATGCGTATCCAGGGAGTGGTGGTGGGAGTGGGATTGGGAATGGGAGTGGAGGGTTGTATCCTGGGGGCAGCGCGGGGGGAAGTGGGTATGGGGGTGGTGGGTATGGGGGGTATGGGGTAGGCGGTGGGAGTGGAAGTGGAAGAGGAGGGGATAGAGATGGAGATGGCATATATCGGGCTGCGACACCGAATTCAAGAGGGCAGTACTCGGCGGCTGTGTTGGATGAGTTGGAGAGTCAGAATGATGAGCATGTTGGGGTTTTGACGGGGAAGGTTAAGATGTTGAAGGATGTATGTGTTACCTCTCTCAAATCCCCTTACCACTACCTCCCCTCTCCATTCATCCATCCCATGGAATACATCGCTAACATTCACCCAGTTAACCCACCTCATCGGCGACGAAATTCGCGACTCCACCACCCTCGCCGAGAAGATGAACGACCAGTTTGAGAACTCGAGGCATAAGATAAAGGGCACTATGAATCGCATGTTGCGGATGGCGCAGAAGACGGGGGTAGGGTGGAAAGTTTGGGTCGGGTTCTTTGCGGCGGTTATCTTGCTGTTTTGGTGGGTGTGGTTGGGGTGATTGAAG